TTTTCGTACTGTTATTGCACTATAAAAATAAACGGATAAATAATAAAGGTTTTAATTTTATGCTTGGCTTGCGTATATAAAGAAAATGGGACATGGGCTGCTCCAGGATCAACATATATATACTACTGCCGATAAACAAATTGATTCATAAGCTGGAAAGCTTTGGGATATCTCCCAAACTAAGAAATTGGCTTCATTCATTTGTCACGGACAGAAAATTTCAAGCCAAAATCAATGATATACTATCGAAGGAGAGGCGCGTATTGTCCGGAGTCCCGCAGGGCTCCGTTCTTTGCCCCGCAGGGCTCCGTTCTCTTCTCTGCAGATTTAATTGAATTGGAGATGCAACAAGAAAATATGCCAACTCCAATGTTATGAATCCCAAATTAAATCAAGCTTTGATTCCCCCTGTGGAAAATGTCCGTGATCTTGGGATCTACTTCTCCAGTAACCTGAGTTTCCATTATCATTATTCGGTGATTATTCGGAAATCACATCAGAGGATCAACATGTTCTTTTCCATTCTAAAAAACGCATCGTGGAGTGTTTTTATAAAATGCTATACAATTTACATACGCCCTTTACTCGAATATGGAACGATAGTCACTTCTCCAATCCTAAAAGATCATATTATAAAATTGGAATCTGTGCAAAAGTCATTTGTTTTCAGAATTTTCAAAAAATTCAGGATGGCATACACTTCATACTTTGAAGCACTGGAAGAATGTCAGCTAAGTTCCTTGGAGTATCGCAGGCTCTATAATGATTTGGTCTACACGTATAAAATTATTGTTTCCAAAGAAATTATCATGGAGGTTCCAATTTTCGAAATATTTAATCATGCTGGATCATTGCGACGTCACAAATACTATCTCAAATCACTTATCAAAAACTCAACAAAAATATCTTCTCAATTTCTCTCTAATAGAGTAATCAGATGTTGGAACTCTTTACCCGCCAAAGTGTTTCCGGTGAAGCCCTCGTCAGCGGCTTTCAAAAATCGACTATTATCCTGTGATCTAAAACATTTTCTTGTCTTGAATTCAACTAATTACTAACTCGGTTTTTCCTTCATCTCCCAATTACTACAAATGTATGTCCCTGTTATATTTCCTAGTTTCATAGACATTTCACGTGTTAGTGGTTTTCTCCCCTTCGTTGAAATAAATAAATAAATAAATAAAGTGAAGTTGGTATCGTTTTCTAAAAACTGACAAAAAATGAATGAAACTTTTGAAGCAGTATTTTTTTTCGATTTTCAAAATTCTCAAATTTCAGATTTCTGCGCCAAGAAGACGAATGGGCTCATCCCAAGATTTGAGAATTCTCAAAGATTTAAAAAGGAAAGCTGATAATAAAAATCTAGAAACCAATCAGCACAACCGTCCGTTTCTCGATTTTTATAAATGCCGAAATTTTCATTTCAGCGGGAATTTCGAGAGTTTTCTACCCAAAACATTTGAAATGAGTTTAAATTTTTTCAAAAAATAAAAGTTCGTATTTCGGTCAAAAAGAATGGGGAAATGACATCATTCAGGCACTCAACTGACACCGATCGGCCACCACCCCAGGAGGAACACAGAAAAATAGCCAAAAACAGTCGAATAAAAAATTCGTCACTTTTTTCTGGAAGTTTCCTCTCTTTTTTGTCGTTTTTGCAACTTTGATTTCTGAATTTTATTTCTGGGACCCGTGCTGGATAGATTTTTGCATAATCTGGAAAATGGAAATTTTTTCGAAAAATGTGATTTTTATAGGTCTATTCCCGCTGTTTCTCCCTCAATTTTCAATTTCCCTGTTTCAATTTTCGAAATTTCTGTGTTTCAAAAGTCCACTACTAGTCTTCAGTCTTTCCTCTTTCTCTTCAAGATAAAAAAAATGGGTGTGTTGTACCAGTCTCGGCTCCTTTCTCTACGTCCGAAAAGCACCCGGACGGAGAAATCTATTACTTATCGATGAGAAAAGAGAAAAAGAGAGTCCATCTGTCTCCTCGTCCCCTGCACCGATTAATGTGATTTTTTTTCGAAAGTTTGCAAAACGAATTTTGCACTTTTGATTCTTCGAAAGTCATCGGAAAAGGACAGTAAACATTGATAAAGATTGCGGGAGTTTTTCTTTTCGCTTTTTTTGTTCAGAAATTCCATTTGTGTGCATTCTGACGTGATGGTGTTTGCGTCTCGTTTGCGCCGTACCGTACGACAAGAGCCATCTTTTTTCTTTTTTCCTCAAACTAACTAGGGAAGGTTGTAGCTGGGGTACGGGACTTTGATATGATGCCTAAATCATTCGAAAGATGAGAATAAGACATTTTCAAATATATATTCAGATTTTGCTGCGGACATTCCAGATCCGAGAAAATCGAATTTGAAATTTGGCTGAAATTCGAATATTTTGAGGGCCACATCTCCCCCCTTTCTTATATGCATTGTGGAACTAGTTGAAAGCAGCGACTGGTGGTGTAGCGGTGAAGAGGGAGGACGGTAACTGACTAGGGTTGGGTTCGATTTCTCTCTCCTTTGTCTGTTTTTGTTTTTGTTTTCGGTCTTTGTGGAAATCTTCAAAATGTTCCGAACACATTTTTCAAAAAAATTTCATTTTGATACTGAAAAATTGTAGTCGTTGTTTTTAGGCTTTTTTCTATGCCTTGCGGGTTGAAATTTTTTTTTCGATTTTCTGATTATCCAGGGTCTTTAGAATTCGAATTTTCAATGTCTGAGCACCGAAAAAAAAACGAATTTGGAGTTTTTCAGTTTTTGGCTGATTTTTTTCTAGATTTTGCTAAGTTTTGCTTCTAGAATAACATTTTTCTGCGTTTTCTCGACGATTTTCTAGCTAAATCTCTTGTTTTTTTCCCAACAAAAAAAATCAAAAATTATCTTTGTGTGCATTCTGACGTGGTGGTGTTTGCGTCTCGAATGCGCTATACCGAACGACAGAAGTTTTCTGGACCAAATTCGAGCGATTTTTTTGTTTTCTAACACTTTTCTCATGTCGAATCGTTGTTTTCGAGCCTTTTTTTGATATTTTTCGTGATTTTTATTTTTTTTTTCCCTGATTTTTTATACCTTTTTATCCTTTTGGACTTCTGAAATTTCGAATTTTTAGCTGAATCTCGAATTTTTCAGTTTTTAGAAATTTCTGGCTGATTTTTCGAAGATTTTCCCGCTTTTTGGCTTGAAAATTCTAATTGTTCTGCGTTTTTCACGGTTTTCTGGTATATTTTGGTTGTATTCTGACTCTAAACATCTAACCGGCATTTTTCGGATTTTTCGAGGATTTTTCTGATTTTTGACTTTTCTGCATTTTTTGAAATCTGATTTTAGCTATATTTTTACTATTATCCCGGAAAATTTTTTTCGCATTTTTGGCATTTTTTGATGCTCAAAACGAAATTTCTGGTATTCTAGTGATTTTTAACTGTTTTTAATGAACTGAAAACCCATTTCTCGGCCGAATTTTCAAGTAAAATACGATTTTTTGGTGTTTTCACCAATAAATCAAAATTTATAAAAGCTTTTTTTTCGGCCAAATCTCCTACAAAACATTCTCCTCTTCTTCAAAAATCCTCTAAAATTTCTCTTGAAATTTCACACAAAATCCATCGTCCTGCACGTTCTCTTGCGATAGTGTGAAGTAGTACAGACAGAACTACTAAAAAAACGCTTTGACAAACTAAATTCTCAATTCACATGTTGCAAAAAGAGACGAGCGAGAAAGCGCGAGCACACCCAACACTCGACAGAAAACCACTCTCTTCAAACCACACACTATTTCTCTAAAAGCTAGAGATAGGGAGTGGCGTGAGAGACGCAGAGAGGGTGATACAGCGACAGCAGCAGTCGTCATCCTGGCGAGATAGTAAGAGACGCAGACTGTGTCTGCCCACTCTCTCACTTCTCCCACACTCTCTCTGGAAAAGCGAACGAAGCGATGAAGAGCAGCAGCAGAGGCAGCGAGCTCCGACGGCCAACGAGGCTCCGGGAGTCCTTGAGCAGTTGAGAAGAGAGACGAGGCTTCAAAAAATCCCGTGTTTTTCAAATTTGTGTGTGTTTTCAATTTTTTGCCCTTTCAATTTTTCAATTTTATTTTTTTCCTGGTTCCGACCGAGTCATATGGTTCATTTCGTTCCGAAGAGCGAGCTTCTGACCCCAATTTCGTGTCTATTGGTTCGCGCAGATAACCGCGAGAGATTGAGAGACGCAGACAGGAGGAACGATACTACCTACTGCTTCTTCTTTCTTCTTCTAAATACATTTCACTTATTCTACAGAATTTAAATTTGAAAAAGAAAATAGTTCTAAACCGAAAGATAAAGAATCTGTGTTCGTTTTTTTTGGTACTCTTGATTTTCAAGTGATAGGAATTCTCGAGTGACTTTTCTCACAGAAAGAGAGATAGGGCGCGGGAGATAAACTCTTCGGTTTTTCCTATTTTTTCGACTTTTGAACTTTTTTGAGAAATTTGAATTTCCCGCTGTTTTCTGTCCTTTTTGGTCTGATTATTATATGAATTTTCAGCGTTTTTTGGGGTCTGCCGATTTTCGTGATTTTCCCCGAATTTTAGATAATTTAGACCATTTTTAGTCCATTTTCGGCCCATTTTTACCTATTTTTCATTGAATTTAGTCTAATGTTTGCTACGAATTTCAGCTC